GAGAGGTTACGGGGAATACGAGATAGGTAGATTTGTCCATGAAGCTAAAGTGCTTCCCACCCAAGGTGTGTTCATGAAGGCCTTAACCCCTACTTAGAGGGGTTTGCAGCTCACAGAGGACACACACCATCATGGTTATTCACGTCCAGGCGGGGCCGGAGGGTTGGAGGAGCTGGTAAGCACCAGGTGTGACGGCAACCCACAGGCCTGTGGCCCCAGCACGGGTAGGTGGAGGATGGGGCTCACCAGTATGCGTTTGCCCTTGATCAGGGTGATGGTGGTCTGGGGTAGGGTCACGTGGACTTTGCTCAGGCAGGAGACCCCTTCCTGTCCTTGTTCCTCATTCTTGACCGCCACCCTGAAGTACGGCTCTGGGTGGGGAGAGGGATGGAGAGAACCTGGGTGTCGTTCCACAAGCTCCTCTTTTGGGTGGTGGTGGTGGGGGGTGTTGTTGTCCACTGTGGGCAGGGCCCTTCACTTGGCACCGAGGGGATAAGGGGCCACAGAGAGGTGGCTCTGACCATTCCATAGTCGGGACAGAAATCGCACTCCAACTCCTAGGACAGCCTCTGAGCTGTCTATCTGTCTCCGCCTGGGGGCCCGGGCTATCCCGGGGCAGGAGCATGCTCTGTGCTCCCTCCCTGGTGTCTTGGACAGTCTCCACCATGATGGCAGGCACACCACAGTCCCTCAAAGGGGGCTTTGCCAAGGGAGCAGCAATGCAGAGAAGGGCATTGGACTGTGTTCTCCTCGTGGGTCTCTCTGGCCCTGAGGAAGTCCCTGTTGCTGGGTGGACCTCTTAGCCCTTACCTCCCAGGAGGCCAGGCCTCCATGAGGACCCGTCCTCACTCCCAACGGGTCCTGCCCTTGACTGTTGCCCGCAGGCCCCCGGAATCAGCCCTTCTGACCCCAGAGCTTCTGCCCCGGCCAAGGCAAGCCTACCTGTGGATTTTGTACAGGGATGGGTCAAGACATAGGTACATTTGCCCATGAAGTTAAAATGCCTCCCGTCGAAGGTAAGGTAATGGGGGTCTCCGTAGGTCAAGCAGGTGGCGGTGCCTGCCAATGGGAGAGAGCGGGAGACACGTGAAGCTGAGGCGGCCACCCCCTCAGAAGAGCCCCTCATTCTACCCCCTCCACCTTCCCCCCAACGACCCTCCCCAGTTCCTCTGATCAAGGGGAAGATGGGGATCCTGGTGTCATTGGAACGACAGGCCAGCAGGAGGGGCCTGGACGACACGGAGGGAGAGAGGGTCTTACCGTAGGGGTGGCATCCATACTGGCCGTCCTGCAGCCGGCACACCTTGTGTGTCCCACACTGAGTGGGCTGGCACTGCAGGCGGCTGCCCTGCAAGCAGCGGCATTGCTCGGTGCAGTTGGGGCTGAACCACTCGTCTCCAGGCTGGGGACAAGGATCCCGAGTCACACACTACAGTTCTTGGGGCACTTCCCCTTCTCCTCTGAAGAGAGAAGATGCTGTCTCACCTGGCTCACACTCTTCCCACGGTCTCCCAGGTCACCTTTCCCCACCACAGGGCACTCACACAGGCCGCTGTCTCCTCTGGGGGAGCCCGGGCAGCGGGGCAGTGGACAGGCACTGGGCCGTGACCCTCCAGGTCCACAGTTCCTCATCGGGAGGAAGACAGGACTCTCCAGTCCCATGAAGAGTGACCGGCTTGGAATCCCCCCGGGGCAGTTCTACCCTGTCCTACAGGGTCACTCTGAGTCAGCGCAGACTTGGCCGGTGGGCTTGGCTTGGTTCTCTCCTCTTGGAATGCTCTACCCTCCCGTCTTCCTAAACCAGCCCCCTCTGCGGTCACTTTCTTAGAAAGACATCCTTGACTAGGTCATCCTCCCAGCTCCGGTACCCTTCCTTTGGAGAGGCGTCCCCATGGCCGTTAGGTTTCTTTTCGTGAGGATCTGATTGGTAAGTATCCTGCGTAAGAGAACATGTCTGTCTCTGCATGTCATTTTGGCCTTAACACGTAGCACCGTGGCCTGCAGGGTGCCCTCACTCAATAAATACTCGCTGCATGGAAGACTTGGCCAAGATGCAATGAGTCCATCAGTGGGAGAGCATCGCAGAGGCAAGGACCGTGTGGCACGCCAGAGAATGGGCACTTACCGAGTGAACAAGTACATAAGTACGCAGTGCAGCGGGAAGCGACGGCTGATGCCGGTGGCTGTGACCCATCTTGGTGCCCAGGTTGTAGCGGGCACTAACCTAACACTGACGCAGACCCAGGAGAACAGTTAAAGAGGATGGGGGAGGAGGTGAGCCTGGCAAACCGAAGCTCTCAGAAGATCAGTGCCAAGAAAGGAGCCTCGGGTCGGAGAAGAGGCAGGTCTCGCTAACAAATGCTTCATGCGCCTTTAATGACCAGCTTGCATATGATAGTCACCGCAAGTTGCTCATACAAATGAACATTCATAAGTCATTGGTACATGTCAGAATCGAATTCCATCTGAACCACCATCTGATGGGCCAGGACATCCCAGTGTGCGGTTTGTTATAGACGGGACGATAGAAATAAATAAATAAAGATGAGAGGGGAGGGTCGCAGCTTAAATATAATTTTTTTTTTTAAAAATCCTCCAGATTCCTTCCCCATCGAATCTAAAGATCCGCCTGAGTGGCTTGGAACAAGGAGGGAAAGGAAAATTGATGTGGACCTGGGGTCTCTGATGACATACAAGTTCACTTCAAACATTAGAGAGAGAGAGAGAGAGAGAGAGAGGTGGAGATAGAATTTGAAAGTTAAGTGAATTTTCCCAAAGTCACTCGCAATATGAGTGCTGGAGCCGCAGGATTTGTGCCCAATGGCTGCTGCCGAGCTAACCGTCCAGTGTGGTGGCGGCCAGATACGCAGGACCATTGAGCTCATAAACTGTGACCAATCCCAGGGAGCTATCCCAAGGGTATAACAGGCACGGACCTCCTAGCTTTGCATGGGTTACCTGCTGAAACAATATGTGGAACTTCGTGCGCTCACGAAGATTCACTCACCTGTTCCTTTTGCACTTTTGAATGTGGTGACCAGGAAATGACAGACAGACGTGGGACTTGCATGCAACCTCTATCATTGTGACTTTCGCTGCATCTCCCCCGGGGGTGGTGGGGGGGTGGGGGGAGCCATCAATTAGGGGAGGTAACAACTCCACTCCTTTGGACCCATCAGGATTTCCCAGTTTCTTTGGGAGAAAAGTCTAAGGTTTGGGGGTGCCAGATTCTGTCCTGGAATGTGCCAGACGTGCCTCTCAAGTGTCTGGTCTCCTCTGTATACATGGGAGTCCCAGATTTTCCTCAGGATGAACATAGGGGAGTCCTTTATCACATGGTTGGTCTAACCCCTAATGAATCATTCAGGCACAGAGGTACAGAACTATGAGCCTCTAAGGACCACAGGACCCTGCTCCTTCTCCTCAGCCGATCCTCATGCCAGACCAAAGGGAGTACTCAACACACAGGGCTTGTATGAACAGAGAGGATCACCCCAAAACTCCTGTCGTGTAACTACGACCTTGGGCTTGAGCCCTGGCATCCCACTGACCCACTAGCGACTGCCCTCAGAGGATCCCGGGATCCCACGACCTTACCTTGTAGTAGTTGTTGTTGTAGAAGCAATGGCAGGAAGAGGCTGGGATGCAACTGGACGGACTAAACAGAAAGCCAGGATTGCAGACGCAGCCTGGTCTGCAGGGGAGCGGACAGGTGGGCTTCCGGTTCTCACAGGATGCAGGGCAGGCACAGGACTCGTAGTGGGCATCTGAGGGACAGGTCACTAAGGGGAAAGCACAGCTTCGGTCAACCCTCCACGCCACAACCTTCCTCAGACTCCTTTCCTGTCTTCTGGTCTACCCACAAACTCCAGTTCTTCTCTAAGAAGGAGACCTCCAGCAGCCAGCCACGGAAAGAAGGCAGCCTTCCTCCCTCGTTGGTGGTCATCTAAGATGTGGGAAACCGTGTGGCAGATCCTCAGGTAACTAAACCCAGATTGACCATACGGACCTGGCAATTCCGCTCTTTGCCGCATGCCCCCAAGAATGAAAAAGCGAGACTTCAAACAAGGGTTTGTTTGCTCCGATGTTTACTGCAGCATTATCCACAATAACCAAAAAATAAAGGGGGGAGGAGGAGAGCCTACATGTCCCATGAAGGGTTAAACCCAAACGTAGAACATCCGTGCCATGGACTCGTCATGAGCAGCGATGTCCTGATCCACGCGACCACCTGGATGCACCTGGAGAACATTATGCTGAGAGAAACAAGTCAGTCACGAGCATCAGATATTGTACGATCACAGTGAGGGAAGCATACAGGGGCCAGGGCTTATCTGTGGCCCCCAGGGATGGTGGGGGCGGGGGTGGGGGTGGGGAGAACTCATTGCTTAGGAGACATTGAGCTTCTATTAAGGACGATGGAAAAACTTGGGCGCAGCAGACAGCAATGGCCTAACAACAGGGTGAACACGACGAATCGGGCACGCAGAGACTGTAGGGAGGGCAAGTGGTCTGTTGCCTCGACACCCACCACAATCAAAGGAAGAAGAGCAGAGGAGGAATGGAGCACAGATGTACCCTGGAGACGGTGACACAGGTGAAGGAAGGCAGACCCAAACTGTGTCACTCCCAGGTGTGGTGGACCCCATTACCAAATCGGAAGTCCCAAGAATAAGCAAATCGATAGAGACAGAAAGTCCATTGGTGGGTATATTTTTTGCCAAAATCGTTTTGCAGAAGAAGAAGACAATGACATGAACTGCACTGAGTGCAAGACAAGAGAGAATGTTCCAAAGGGGACTGTGGTCCAGATGGGACAACTCTTCTTGATGGGGTCGAACCATCGAGTTGTCTGATATGTGGACGACGGACGTGCCAATAGAACTGGGGGTTTTTGGTGTGTTTTTCAAAAAGGCCCTCTTTCTCTTTGGCAAGGCAGCCTGAGCAGCCAACGCAGAGATGCATATCTTTGTGAAGACACCCCCCCCTCCCCAATTGAGGTTGAGCCCGGTGACGCCATTGAGAATGTCAAAGCTAAACTCCGAGACAAGGGGCCATCCCCCCACCCCCCCAGACCAGCAGCGTCTGATTTTTGCCGGAAAACAGCTGGAGGATGGCCGCGCGCTCTCGGCCGACAGCACCCAGAGAGCCCCCCCACCCTGCACTAGGTGCTGCGTCTGAGGGCCAGCTGGCCCAGACCAACTGCGACAAGATGAACTGTCCCAGGTGTTGTGCTCGCCGGCACCCCATCCCGAGCGGGTAACTGCTGCAGAAAGTGGGGCCACACCAACAACCTGCATCCCCCAAAGAACGTCAAATAAGGGCCCCTCTCTGCCAGCCCTCCTGCTCTTGCTGGTGGCGTTAGTTCTCCTGGGCCCAGTGGCCCTGGGCCCTCAATAAAGTCTTACTTTCATTGGCCTGAAGCAGTAAAAACAAAAAACAAAAACCAAACTCAGTTGGCCATGTCTTAGGGCTGAGGGAGGGTGGGTGGTGGTTCAGGGTGTGTGTGTGGGGGGTTGGATCGCCATTGACAAAGGAAGAGGTCAGCGGGGGGCGTGTCTCCAAGAACTCCTGGCCAGCGCCTGACCAGCGGGCCTTCTCACCCAGGGGCACCAGGGCACCTTCCACCAAAGGCTGTCACAATGTCTTCTAAAGCCTCCGTAGTCTGATCCATCTCTCCTCTAAGACTGCCATTTGTCTGCAGGACGTATCCCTTCCCCTAACACCCGTCTCCTGCTGTTTCATCCTTTCAGCTTTGGGTCCCAGGTTGCACCTCATACCTGGAGTAGGTCTAGGGGTCGCAGGGGTGCTGAGGGTACTTGGCGTTCCCATCGTCACCGTCAGCATGGCTTGCTCACTGGGTTTGGGTCCTAGGTTGAGGGACTCTGCCCTAAGGCTTGTGGGGGTGGGTTTCTCAGTAGAAGTAGTAGGCTTTTCAGTGGGGACTGTGGGTCTCTCAGTAGGGGTCGTGGGCTGTTGTGTGGGCACAGTGGGCTTCTCAGTGGGGGTGGTAGGTTTTTCTGTGGGGACAGTAGGTGCTTCCAGGGGGTGTGTGTTCTCAACAGGGAGAGTGGCCTCTTCATTGGGGATGATGAATTCTTGAATGGGGGCAGTGGGCTCTTCAGTGGAGAGGGTGGGTCTTTCTGTGGAGGCAGTACTTATTTGTGTAGAGACAGTGGTTTCTTGGGTGGGAGGGGTGGCTTTTACGGTGGTGGTGGTGGTGGTAGTGGTGGTGGTGGTCGTGGTGGTAGTGGTGGTCGTGGTGGTGGTGGTGGTGGTGGGCTTAGTGGGGGAGAAGGGTTGTTCCATGAGGTTGGGGGGGTTTCCAGTGGGGATCAGAGGCAGAGCAGGATTTTTCCTAGGAAGCGCTGCGGGGGTAAGTTCTGCAAAGGGAAAAGAAAACAAAAGAGGAAGCAGCAGCTCTGGAATTTGGTCAAACAATTATACTCCCCTCTTTCCTGCTGGCCACAGAAAAGTGGGTGAAGAGAGACATTGGTCAGTGTAAGACATGAAAAAATAATAATTTATAAGTGATCAGTGGTTCGTGAGGGAAGGAGGGTGGGAAAGGCAGGGAAAAAATGAGGAGCTGATACCAAGGGCTCAAGCAGAAAGAAAATGTTTTGAGAATGATGATGGCAACACATGCACAAATGTGCCTAACACCATGGATGTATGTGTGGATTGTGATAAGAGCTTTATGAACCCCCAATAAAATGATTCTTTTAAAACAAAGATGTACAACATCGAAAAAAATTTATACCACCCCTTCTTTTTTTTTTTTTTTTCTAAACATTTTATTAGGGGCTCATACAACTGTTATCGCAATCCATACACACATCAATTGTGTAAAGTGCATTTGTACATCATTCTCAAAACATTTTCTCTCCACTTAAGCCCCCACATTAGGTCCTCATTTTTCCCCTCCCTCCCCGCTTCCCCCTTCCTCATGAGCCCTTGATAGTTTATAAATTGGTATTTTGTCATATCTTGCCCTGTCCGACGTCTCCCTTCACTCACTTTTCGGTTGTCTGTCCCCAGGGAGGAGGTCACACACAGTTCCATGTAATCGGTTTACTGCCCCTTCTTTCACTCACATCTCCTCAGAGTGGCTAGGGCCGAGGATATAGAATTTACTCACCTCTATTCCTCTCCGCGTAACACACTGCTTTTGTTCACTCAACAAAAAGCTGATCCTAATACATGTCAGATATTGTGCCAGGCAAGGAACACAAACATCAGAGTGCATCAGAGAGATGGGGATCGCAGATCAAAGGTGTAAAGTCAGTTGACCCCCACCCCCTGGCTCCGATGCACACTGCACCTGATCTGATTTTCTTCCTTTTCTGTATTTTTGTTTTGTGTTGTGTTTGTTTGCTCGTATGAGGGCATCTTTCAGAGGTGTGATGCCACGGGAGGGTCCCCCTCTTGAAACTGTGCTCTATGTTTTTCAGGTTTTCGGTATATGAAACCCAGGATGGATGAATCTATAGGAACAGCAGGCAGAACAAGGGTTTGGGGGGAGGGCAAGGGTACAGTGGTATGGGAGGGGGGAGGCAAAAAGAGAGACGATGTCAAGGAGTCCAGGAAGAAAAAGAATGTTTGGAAACTGATTGTGGTAGCGACGGTGTGATTCTGCTTGACGTGACTGAACGATGGAATGATATGATCTATGTATGAACTCCCCATTGGTATATAAACTATCAAGATTAAAAAGACAAAACAAACACAGAAATAAATAGGATGCGAGCCCAGCCGTCAGGATCAGCCTTCACTAGGTGAAGGGTGAAGGGCCTAGCCACACTCAGGCCATCAAAGCCACACTCCATCCCACATTCTCAGGGGGTCAGGGGAGAGGTGGAGGTGGGCCGTCGCTAGAACGAGAATGTCAAAGGTCAGACGGGGACACAGAGTCGGCGCTGGAAAAATCTGGGCCACGAGAAGGCTTCCCTTCTAAACGAGTCCAGGTCATCTGGAGGGCCTGCATCTCACCTGAACAGGCTCCGTAGTTGATCATGATGAAACCCACGGCCACATCGATCGCCTCCAGGATCAGCTGAAGGGCACCGGGGGGAGAGAAAGACGAGAGACGTCAGGACGGATGGACGGATGCATGGCACCTCGGTGATTGCTGGGCCTGGTCCTCGCCTCGTTCTGGGCTCAACCGACCAGTCCAGAAATCCTCCTCCATCACACGGAGCAGCCCACCTCTCCCACGCTCCCTTTCCCACATTCCGTCTTCTCCGTCGTCGCAGTGGCGTGTCCGTCCCCCACCCTTTCTTCACGCCACACACTCTCCCGTGGGCTCGCCTGAATGGGTTGCTGATGGCCCAACGGGACGGCAATGGTGATGGATGCCTGCTGCCACAGAGGGCTCTGGAACCCCAAGCGGCTCCAAATGGAGGTCGCCTGACCCCGCAGCGTCCTCAGCAGGAAATTGAGCATCGTGTCCTCCCCGCCGCCATACATGTGGTAGGCAAACTCCATGCAGACCGTCTCCACGGCACAGAAGAACCTGCTGGCCAGTTGGACGGGATGGCTTTTCAGCGAGCGCTTGTCCTCGTTGGTCTTGAGGTAGATGAAGTGAAGACCCTCTGGACAGAAGGAAGGAATGGGCGGGATGAGGCAGAGACCCCGGCAGGAGGCTCTTGCTGCTGGAGAGACGCCTGGATTTCAGCATGGTGGTCGGCACAACCGCGGGCCCATGTTCCTCCGCCCACTTTCATGGTGGAGGTTGAAAATGAGATGGTGGATTTTTGGAAACCTTGGCCTTCACCAAGTGGGGTGCCTGGCGTTGCGGGGAGTGGCTTCTCATGGATTCCCCAACCATGAGAAGCCTCTGTCTGCCTCTACCCAAGTCCTGGCCATGCGGGCCTTTCCCCCTCAGTGTCCTTTCCCATGGACGGGTCTGTACCACCTACACCTTTCTCTCCCCCGCCTCGTCTGGCACCAGTCATGCCCATCCAGCCCCATCGTCCGGAGCACAGCCGGTGACGGGTTGGCTTGAAGGGTCTCCACACGCCTCACCTCTGCGGGGGGAACCTCCAGAGGGCTCTATGGCATGGGCCGCAGCCGTGTTTCTACTTCCCCGGGTCCAGTGTCCGCCTTCCTTCGAGACCTGGACCCAGTCACAGAAGGGATGGGCATCCTCTTCAAAGTCACACTGAGGGAGGTACTCTGGGGGATCCAATGAGAGACTTGAGAAATGTTGACCAGGCTCCTCCCCACCTCACCTCCAAGTCAGATTCCCAGGCTTCCCGAGAGCCTGCTCTCACCCCTGCAGGGTGCGATGCTGACGGCGTCCACCGCCACCGCTGGGTCGGGGACAGCGCCAAACAGGCCCACGATGAGGAACTGCAGAGGGAGGGAGGGCGGGACCAGTGTGAGCATCCAGTCCAAACCCACAAGCCCCTGGCCTGACAGCTCCATCCAGGGACCCGGGCACCCTGCTGCTCCCCAGGCCCAGGCCCCCCCGTTCATTTCTACACTGGGAGTGTCTACTGGGGACCGGACAATCCATCCCTGGCTTCCCTGTACCTGTATCTGCCCCTCGTTTGTGTAGTTCACAGACGCGGGCTGCCAGCTGGGTCCAGGCTGTCCTAAGAAGAGGATGTCCTTCTGGATGCTCCCTGCAATGTAACGAAGCAGGGGAGAGGCATGCGCTTCAGGAGCCGGCGAAATGACTTCAAGCCTATCCTCAGGAGGATGCGTATCCCTCTCCAAATGCTAGCGCACCCTTCGCACTCCATCTCTTGGACTCTTTCTTCTAGTTTGCAGAATCGAGTGGTCCCCTGTCTCCCAATTCCAATCCCGAAAAAGACGTCTCCCCCGTATTCCCGATTCCCGGGGTGCCCCGTGTCTCTCCCTGAAGCCGACCTTGGCAGCAGGTAGTGTAGAGTCTGTGAGCGAGTGCCCCACACTGACCCATGAGCGCTGCCTTGACGATGAGGGTCGCCCCGGCACTCCGGCCACGAAGGGTATATTGGAAGGAGAGGCCCAGGCAGCCCGAGGACTGGCTCAGTGGGCTCACGAGAGTCGCTTTCTGACCTGCGTTCGCATCCTTGGGGTCCAGGAGCATGTAGGAGCCACCTGAGAAGGAAGAGAGTCAGGGCAAGGTAGGGGTGCCTGAAGTTGGGGGGGGGTGGCAACAGGGACAGAGGTGTGTGTGTAGGGGGGGCGGTTCCTGGTCCTGAGGGACCCAAACAACTGCCCAGAGTCAGTAGCTCCGAGCGCCGACACCCGCCTCCCGGGTGGACTGATTTCAACCCTCCCAGAAGTGCTTGGCTGAGCTGGGGAAGGATTCCGTGCTGCCCAGTTGATTCCAACTCATAGTGACCGCCTAGGACAGAGGAAGACGGCCCTTGTGGGTTTCCAAGGCTAGAATTCTTTACAGGCGCAGAAAGCCTCCTCTTTCTCCCTCAGAGAGGCTGCTGGCTTCCAGCTGCTGGCCTTGTGCTCAGCAGGCCGATGTGTAACCCACTATTCCACCAGGGCTTCTTGGGTTCTAGACACTGCCGCGTCAAAACGCAGCAGCCTAGAAGGCGCCCGTCCTTTGTCCTCTAACACGTTAGGCTCCCTAGATTCGTAGACTCTCCCTTTTCTTGCCCCACTTGGCAGAGCCAGGTCCTCCACTGGCATGAGTAAGGCCCTGTGGTGTGCTTCAAAGCCAGCATCTGGTCACGCAAGCTTCCTGCTCTCCAGTCACGCCCTGTGCGCCTATCCTTCCATGCAGGCAGCCGATGCACCTGAGCCTGGCTCCACAGGCTACTGGTAGCCAGAGCTAAAGTCTCAGCGACCACTGGCACATGGGGGACACCCCATCTCTGCACCACCCCAACACTCCAGCTGTAGGGGCAGGAAGATAGGTCGGGGACGGGACAGGGAAGCAGAGAGGTAAAAGAGGGAGATGGCAGAAATTGGAAGGCAGAGAAGGCAGAGTAAACAATGGGAAACTTGGGATGGTGGTGGCAGGGCATGGGAAAGGAAAGCTTTCTACTTCTGGAAAACTCACAGCCTCAGAAACCCACAGGGACCGTTCTGACTTGCTCGATGGGGTTGCTATGAGTGGGATTGCTTCCATGACAGTGGGTTTTGGGGGGGCCAGGTTGAGTCTGCCGTGGGCGGCATGGGAGTGTCTGCTGTCTAGTGTTGGCTGAAAGCGGTTGGAGGCTGCCTCCTCCAGGCTGTCCTGAGAGGTGCTGTTGGTCCACTGGAAGCCCTGAACTGAAGGTCAGAGCACAGGGGCATGGGCTTTACTTACTGCCGGGCCTGGAGAAGTCATCCAAAGGCCCTGCGTTCGGGTCCCCTGAGGACCCCGTCTTCTGGACCCATTTGGCCCCCGTGGGGGAGGGAATCCAGCTCCAGCCACAGAGGTCATTTGGAGTGTCGAAGTTGCAGGTCTTCATCTCACAGGCTAAGGGTGAAGAGAGGGGGGTGGGCTTGGCTCAGGAGAGTCTCCTCCCCAGGCTTGCCATCCTGAGTTCTGAGCAGAGTCCCGTTGTGAGCCCCGTGAGCCTTTCCCCGCAGGTTCCACCTCCCTGTCCACTGCGGGAGTCCTGGAGCCCCTGACCTAAGCCCCTCAACCTCAGTTTCCTCATCTGTGAAGTGGGCTAGCAGTGCCCACCTCACGGTACTGGCTCCTTTCTCCCAGCTTTAAGGGGTTTCCATCCCTGGAACTGCCTCCCTCTAACCTCTCACTCCAGTTGTAGAATGTTTTTCTGAATAAATGGATGAATGGGTGGATGAGTGGGTGAGTGGATGAGTGGATGGATGGATGGATGGATGGATGGATGGATGGATGGGTGGGTGGATGAGTGCATGGATGGATGGATGGATGGATGGATGGATGAAT